ATAAAAATAAGTATTTTATTAATTCTTAATATAAAAATCAAAGTTATATTTTGTTGTATTATATTATGAAATGTTATAGTTGACTAATTTTTCAAAATGTCATTTTTGGTCATTTTACATTTTTCATCTAGCTTATAAGCTAGATTTTGCCAAACGTGATTTGTTCATCAGCTAGCTTATCAACTAGTTTGCCAAATATAGCGTAAAAGCTTACCCTATGCCAAGAGAATCCTGTAGCCTATGCCATGTCATTAAGAACATAGGCCTAATATGGTGACTAGCTGTAGACCTATGACCATACAAGTTTAGCGAATTTCAAGTTAAAGATCAGAAACAAAGGCTTTGATTTCATGCCAGTATCTGTGGCATATTGTGACAAAAAAGTATAAAGCATTACTTTAAGTTATCATGACATAGACTATTTGATCCCAGCTTTTTCCTCTGCCCTCGCCTCTGTTGTCTCTTAGCTTCGTTCTACCCCTCAAGCCTTTGTTTCACATATCCAACAACTACATTTAAGACAATAATTCATAGTAGACTTAATTAACATATTGATAAAGGTCCTAAGATTAGTCTTGCACTGACTTGGGCTCGTATAGAGTGCTAAAACACTGTTGCAATAACAAACACATCTTGCTGTCAACAGCAAGTCAGCTTTGTTCCAATCTCTGTTTTGCGCACTCAACAATCTCCTTTAGGGATGAATTTCCTAGGCTGTATACCTAATAACATAGTAGAGGTTGTAGAGTGGTCTCATATCACTTCATAACAACAATTCGGCAAGAAATATTAGCATGAAATGAAGGATACGCTCTGTACAAGATGGGTGAGCCTTCTGCTAACTTGGTCCACATCATGGCACACAATACCACTTTCTCATCATTGTTTATGATATATAGTCTGCAATTGCAACCTAAAAATAAAATAGTTACCTTATTTTTGCTGTTGTAGTTGTCACAAGATTAGAGATTTGCTCATGTACAACTTCTGTCTAAGTCAATGCTCATGACACTAATCCTTCAACTAGGGCTCGAGTTAGGTGAGGCAGTTGCTCATTGGTAGCCAATTGCAACCTTAACCCCTTGAGCTCATACACCTTGAACCTAGATTCACACTTGGTTGAATTTTTTGAATCAATCAGCAGCACTGTCTTTATTTTTGTAGAAATCGTGGTTTACGTCGATGCACTTAGCATAGCAATAGGCCTTTTAAATCTCTAGAATTTCATGGAGGACTCGTGAGGATTTGCAGTTATCTACAAAGTTCACTTGGCTATGACTCTACTTATTAGGCTCGATTATAAAGATACACATTTTACAATATTTCTAGGGATAGTTACTGATACATGCTGTAGTTTAAGGGCATAACCCATAGGCATGACCATTCTTGTTCATTGACTCCTCTTTGAGTAAATGTGTTGGACGCTTTAAAACCCAAATTGGTTGCAACTTGCAATCTTAGATTTACCTTATGATCTTTTGAAGTGACCACTCAAATGTGGACTTATGCATGCAAAGCACTAAACTTAATGTTTTCAAGAATGATTTTCAGTGAGATGCAACTGTTCTGACTCCATGTGATGCTGTACAACCTCTACGACCTTTGACTATGCTGTTAGTGCTATGTTCTATGAGTTACAACACTAAATAAGATTGCCAAGTGCACAAGTTGTGCCTGCTGTTGCGACAGTGTTTTGGCACCCTAAATGAACTTGAATCAGTGTAACACTAATGCCAAAACATTTATCAATAACTTAATAAACTCTACTATGAATTTAGGTCTTATATGCAGATGCTATGTATGAGAAACAAAAGCGTTAGGGAATAGAAGAAGCTAAGAGAGGTCAAAGAATAGGGAGAGGCAACAAATACAGCTTGAGTGGATATTGTAAGTCGTGATACCCTAAAAGCCTCATAATGATGTTTTTATACTTCTCTCGCAATTGGGGCCCTTTGGATGTGTGCATGGGCTTGCAATCAAAGCCTTTGACTTCTTCCAAACTGTAACTCGAAATTAATGCCAAAATTGCATGGCCGTAGGGCTATGATAAACCACCAATTGTCTAGGTGTATTCTAGTGGAATAAAAGAGGAATTAGTTATACGATGAAGGACATTATAGTAAATATCAGAATAATTCTTGTAATTTCAGAGAAATTCTATTGTTATTCTCATTGAAAAGCAAAAGGGGTATTTATACAGCTTAGAGACCTAACTAGAATCCCATAATTTAAGGGATTTGATAACATACAAGGAAACTTACCAAACTATACAAATATCTACCAAATCTGTTACAAAAGGAAAAATAATCCCAAGAAATCAAGGATTATATTCATTGTATCAATTCCACACTCCCCCTCAAGTTGGTGGATATATATCATGCATGCCCAACTTGTCTATAAGACGATCGAATGTCTGTCTAAATAGTCCTTTTGTTAAGATATCTGTTGTTTGCTCTTTGGAAGGGATGAATGCAATGCAGATAGTCCCATTGTCCAACTTTTCCCTTATGAAATGTCGGTCCACTTCAATGTGTTTTGTCCAGTCATGTTGGACTGGATTTTGTGAGATGCTAATGGTTGTTTTATTATCACAAAACAACTTCATAGGTAGCTCAACCTTTGAACGTAAGTCAGCAAAGACCCTTTTGATCCAGATTATTTCACCTATGCCATCTGCCATTGATCTGAATTCAGCTTCTGTACTGCTTCTGGATACAACACTTTGTTTCTTGCTTCTCTACGTGACAAGATTTCCCCATACATAAGTACAATATCCCGATGTAGATCTTCAACTCATGTTTGGGTCTTCCCGGCTTGCATCAGTAAAGGCTCCAATGGTTCGGTTGTCTCCTTTTTTAAAGTGTAGTCCTTTGCCGGACAACTCTTTAAATATCTAAGAATTATGTGGACAACTTCTTCATGTTCTTCATAAGGACAATGCATAAATTGGCTCACCATGCTAACTGTAAAGCAATGTCCGGCCGTGTATGTGATAAGTAAATCAACCTTCCAACCAACCGTTGGTATTGATGAATATCAACTTGCTTCCCATTAGCAATGCCATCCAACCTTTTGTTGGGGTCAATTGGAGTATCTATCGGTCGACATGCACTCATTCTAGTATCTTGTAAAAGATCCAGAATGCATCTCCTTTGTGACAATACAATGCCCTTACTTGACATTGCAACTTCCATACCTAGAACGTATTTCATTTCTCCAAGGTCCTTTACTTCAAACTCTTTAGCAAGTCGATCCTTCATTTTTTCCATTTTCTCATGATCATTACCTGTGACGAGTATGTCATCTACATAAACTATTAAGGTTGTAATTTTACCTTTTGAGGAAAATCAAGTGAATAGAGTATGATCAAATTAAGCCTGTTTGTATCCGTGACTTTTGACTACTTGAGTGAAACATGCAAACCATGCCCTTGGGGATTTCTTGAGCTCATACAAAGCTTTCTCTAATTTGCACACTTGTGTGCCAAAGTTACTTCCACACCCAGGTGGTGGCAACAAATAAACTTCTTCCTCTAGTTTGCCATTCAAGAAGGCATTTTGCACATCAAATTGCCTAATTGGCCAATCAAGATTTGCTACTATTGAAAGTAGAATCCTTATGGTATTTAACTGTTAGGACTGAATTTCAGTGTTAAAATTGTATTCGTCTTGAAAGTTACTATTGTCTATAATTAAATAGACATCGTATTTGACTTTGTAAGCTTTGTTTGACTTTGACTAGAGGGTTAATAGTTTGACCCTATAAATAGATTTTCTTAGAGTAATTATAGTGAGGAGATTTCATTTGAAAAGATTACGTATACTTTGAGAGATTTAAGAGCATTGACTATTTGACTTTCTCTCTCAACTCTCCTCTCATATTGTTCTTACAAGTTCTTAAAGATTGCCATGAATTCTTAGTAGATTTGTTGAAGATTGATCATTGTGACCTATTAATTGGTATCAGAGCAGGAGTGCATCGTAATCAATAAGAAGAAATCATTAATTTTG